CCAGGGCAGCCTCGAACCCAGACAGCCCGGCTACACACAGAGAGAAGTAAGCCCACAAACGTCTGGACATCTCCGAGGTGGAACACCCCCCCCCGAGCAATGGAAAGTGACGTCACAATAGAAGATCCCACCGCTCTAGACAAGGAGAAGAAACTGACGGCAAAGTGTCGGCTCACTAGGCCAACCATGGGCAAATAGCTGGCAGCCTCACAGGTACAATATGTATGATATATCATATATGAGATATATATATATATACACACAACAGCAAAGCACCGTCTCACCACCAGGGACAAACGTGAGGCAACACAGAGGTGTCGACAACCAGACTACATGACGTCACCATCGCTTCCATCGACAAACTCCTGGAAGCTGGGGTAGGCCTATAGTATACCACATAGCAGGTAGGCCTACAGTATACCACATAGCAGGTAGGCCTATAGTATATACCACATAGCAGGTAGGCCTATAGTATACCACATAGCAGGTAGACCTATAGTATATACCACATAGCAGGTAGACCTATAGTATACCACATAGCAGGTAGACCTATAGTATATACCACATAGCAGGTAGACCTATAGTATATACCACATAGCAGGTAGGCCTATAGTATACCACATAGAAGGTAGACCTATAGTATATACCACATAGCAGGTAGACCTATAGTATACCACATAGCATCATTTCCTCTACCTTCAATGCCAACAACTTCCCCGCTGCCATGTGACAAAGCATCAACTTGTCGACCTCTACTACCAGCTAGCACCCACAAAGCATCTACTTGTCGACCTCTACTACCAGCTAGCACCCACAAAGCATCAACTTGTCGACCTCTACTACCAGCTAGCACCCACAAAGCATCAACTTGTCGACCTCTACTACCAGCTAGCACCCACAAAGCATCAACTTGTCGACCTCTACTACCAGCTAGCACCCACAAAGCATCTACTTGTCGACCTCTACTACCAGCTAGCACCCACAAAGCATCTACTTGTCCACCTCTACTACCAGCTAGCACCCACAAAGCATCAACTTGTCGACCTCTACTACCAGCTAGCACCCACAAAGCATCAACTTGTCGACCTCTACTACCAGCTAGCACCCACAAAGCATCAACTTGTCGACCTCTACTACCAGCTAGCACCCACAAAGCATCTACTTGTCGACCTCTACTACTAGCTAGCACCCACAAAGCATCTACTTGTCGACCTCTACTACCAGCTAGCACCCACAAAGCATCTACTTGTCGACCTCTACTACCAGCTAGCACCCACAAAGCATCTACTTGTCGACCTCTACTACCAGCTAGCACCCACAAAGCATCAACTTGTCGACCTCTACTACCAGCTAGCACCCACAAAGCATCTACTTGTCGACCTCTACTACCAGCTAGCACCCACAAAGCATCAACTTGTCGACCTCTACTACCAGCTAGCACCCACAAAGCATCTACTTGTCGACCTCTACTACCAGCTAGCACCCACAAAGCATCTACTTGTCGACCTCTACTACCAGCTAGCACCCACAAAGCATCAACTTGTCGACCTCTACTACCAGCTAGCACCCACAAAGCATCTACTTGTCGACCTCTACTACCAGCTAGCACCCACAAAGCATCTACTTGTCGACCTCTACTACCAGCTAATTCCCCGCACCCACAAAGCATCAACTTGTCGACCTCTACTACGAGCTAATTCCCCGCACCCACAAAACATCACTTTTCTACCAAGACAGGAACAGCTGGCAGCCCCCAAGACATGAGGACCCCCACAGCATGAGCTCACTACAGAACCATCCACACATTTGTTCACTACAGAACCATCCACACATTTCTTGCAGCTACGCGGACACGATGAACCACATAGCATCAGCTGACTATCAGAACCATCTTGAAACTTCTCGCAGCTATTCAGACAGGAGCCTTTGACCTCTGCATAATATACGTCCATGTATATGTACAGCACAAGACAAGCCCTGGCTGTATAATGCCGTCGCCAGCCAAAGTGGTAGGTCTACTCCACGCGGCAACACCCGAGCAGTAGCAGAAGTAGGAGAGAGAGAGAGAGTACAGGAAGTGAGAGACAAAAAAAAGAAAAGACGACGGCACTTACATACTTCATACATTTGACAAAACCGCCTACCCAAGCACCACGCTAATGAACAAAACTAAAAAACAAAACAAAACAGATATTTTTTAAAATGATGAAAATCCACAAGAGCCTAAAATAGAAGCAAAGTAAAAGCCGTCTGCCTCTATGGGCCCATCATGCAACGTACGATGTGATGAAAGTAGTACAAGAATTTAGGACAAAATAAAAGTCACACTAAAAACTGAAAAGGCTACATGGCACAGAGAGTATGCAATACTAGAAGAAAGCCACAGAGATAACGTGAACGCATAGACAGAACAGGATGACATCCAACAGTGTCGCAATACCCCAACATTCTACGCTTCTGGATACTTCGCACATCTGAAATGTTAGAGGGGGAAAGGACGGTTAGTGTTAGTTAGGGCCTACATACATGGGTCTGCTGGATGTTGGTACCGTAGACAGGTACCATAACTATTGTACAACATGGCACAGGTCAAAGGTTATAGCTGGCACCGTAGACAGGTACCATAACTATAGTACAACATGGCACAGGTCAAAGGTTATAGCTGGCACCGTAGACAGGTACCATAACTATTGTATAACATAGTACAGGTCAAAGGTTATAGTTTGTACCGTAGACAGGTACCATAGACTTGTAAATTAGACTTGTACCATAGACTGGTACAATAGACTGGTACCATAGACTTGTACCATAGACTTGTACTATAGACTTGTACTATAGACTTGTACCATAGACTGGTACCATAGACTTGTACCATAGACTTGTACTATAGACTTGTACCATAGACTTGTACCATAGACTTGTACCATAGACTTGTACAATAACTATTGTATCACTAGCACAAACCTAAAGTCTTCACAAAGAGACTCGGGGCACCGGGGAGGGAAGGGGGCCTACTGGCTGTAGAAAAGAAGGATCAAACACACAAAAACTACTGTGCTCAGGGGGAGACAAGAGTCGCAGACATTTCAAACATGTCAAACATTTCGTCTCCGCCACTACCAACAAGACAGCTGTCTTTTCTGAAATTCTACCCCCCCATTAAAAGGAAAAAT